GGTGAAACTGTGTGTGTGTGTGTGTGTGTGTGTGTGTGTGTGTGTGTGTGTGTGTGTGTGTGTGTATGTGTTTCTCATTCTCCTGCGGTCTCCTTTCTTCCCTTATTCCCCTTCCACTTCCCCACCCTCCCCCAACCTCTCTCTTCCTCATCTTTTCTCTTTCCCTCTGTCTTCCTTTCATTTTATTTTAGGTAACGTGAAATTAGACCTTAGTTAGTTATTAAGTTATTTAAGTAAGTGAGTTAATGTTAAGTTAGTTTTACCTTTGAGCATTCACTTAATAAAATTATGGCTCCAGTCACAGAATAACCAGAGTCTTGAAAACTTTCTCTTTATGTGAAAGCAAACAATCACATTTTATTCGATTTCCTTTTCCTGGAAAGAGAAGAATTTTGAGGATATGTTAATATAGTCTCTATTTCAATAAATGGTAAGATGAATCTTGTCATCTACAGGAAAACACGGATAACATTATTGAAGTAGTTAAAAAAATCTGCAGTGTTCTTGGATATGTGGAAACCAAACAAATTACAGATGCTGTAAATGAACTAAGTCTAATTCTTCAAAGAAAAACAGAGGTAAATATATTCATTTATTACATAGTAATTATTTTAAACTTGAGTTCAGTAATTACTTAAGGAGAGTAAAAGACTTTTGACTAACAACTAAGTTTCTGTTTCTGTATGTATGTGTGTTTGTACATATGTATGTGAGAGCATGCATGCAGTATATTTCAATCTTTTGGGGATAATGGCAGCTTGAGTCTATTATACCAGATTAAATTAAATTAAAAATAAATTTGTTACACCTTGAAGTGTGTAACTACCTTATAACTTGTAAGTGAAACTAAAATCAATCCTACAGTCCTGCCTAGATGAATGTACTTATACGACATTCACAAGTATTTGTATAAGCCATTAAGGGCTCTTGAGTACACAGTGTATGCAGGGATAAGTGTCATGGTTGGTGGATAAGCACATATGTAATAAAGAAAAGATCAATTATTGTGATATCTTTTGCTGAATTTGCAGTGCATACTTATTCTATGATTTCTGAGTAAATTTATCTAGGTCCCAGATCTGTAATGACTTTGCAGGTTTAAAAATTGGGCATTATGTGATTTTTTTTTAAATTTCAGAAATCTGACATAGAATTATAAGTATGATTACTGCCCATGAAAAATATTAGTAAATTCAGTCACAATGAACATATTCAACCTATTATTAGTTCAGCAGATTAAAAAGCAGAAACATGTGATACAATAATTAATATTTGCATGTGCATTGCAATATATAACAGTTTCACATATGCATTACCTTATTTAATTTTTATTTTAACATAGCCTCACAGCAGTGTCACAAAGTTGGTATTTTAATGTTCATTTTATGTTAAAAGGTGATGCTTAGAGTGCTGTGCACAGAGGATTAGTAAGTGACAAAATATAGATTTGAATCCCTGCTCTATTCATATTCCAATGTATATGTGAAACTTCCTAAGAGACAGTGACTACATGCATTCCTTATCTGCATGGAAAAGACCACCAGATATCATACAACCTTTGAATATAATAACCTTGAAATTTCAAATAGATTGATTTAAAATATAGACAAACATGTTACTATTCTTGTGCTAACTTCTTATTATTTCTAATAGATAAATGACTATGAAGATTCAGTAATTTCTTAATGTTGAGCCTTCTATGTCTTATTTTTATCTGAATTTTTGTGTGATTAGGCCTTAGAAATGAATATAGAAATTTAAATACCTTATTTACATTACATGAAAAGTGACAGTGATAATTCTGAAGAGTCATGGAAGCATACCACCAAAATATTTTAAAGATAAAAGTTGATTAAAAACTAAAAGCACAAAGCATTAATAAAATCCAAGTGTAAGTTATATAATCAGTAGATCTCAAAATTCAGTGTTTAAGACAGACTTGTGTTTATTTCTCTACATTTTCCTTAATGAGAAAATGCTTACTCTTTTACTTTTCAATTGAAGAAAAATGAATAATTATGTAGTCACCAAAACTGTTTTGTGTGTAGTTTTAAGATATGTGGTCTTCACAAATAATAACAAGGCAAGTAATCTGATATGATCATATTTAATTTAGTCATAATTTTCTATCCTTGTCGGAGTGAAAAAAAAATACCATAGTCTTGAGAAGTAAGCCACCAGTATGTTTTGAAAATAGGTATTTTGAAGAACTAAAAAATTTGGGAACTATATGGTGCTAAAAAAAGAGCTTTCTAGCTGGACTCGGTGGCTCAGCCTGTAATCCCATGTTTTGGGAGGCTGAGGTGAGTGGATTGCTTGAGTCCGTGGGTTCGAGACCTGCCTAGGCAACTTGGTGAGACCTCATTTCTACAATAAATCAAAAAAATTAGCCAGGCGTGGTAGCGCTCGCCTGTAGTTACAGCTACTTGGAAGGCTGAGGCAGAAGGATCGCCGGAGCCCAGCAGGTGGAGACTGCAGTGGCCGGGAGCAGTCACTGCACTCCAGTCTGGGCGACAGAGTGAGACTCCAACTCAAAAAAAAAAAAAAAAAAAAAGAGTATTCTAGTAGGTGAAGTTAAGTCAAACTAACATAATATGAGAATTAGTTTTCACCAAGAAATTATGTATCTTAACATTTCCTGAAGGCATTACAAGCACATAGAACTGATAATGAAATATAAGATTATAAAATATAAGACATAAAAGATAAGATGAAGACTTTGATTCATACATCACTAGTAAGGTGAGTCTTTATCATCTCAAGGCCATTGATTATAGATAGCCTCATGGCAAATATGAATCATTGCCAGAGGAGACCAGATGTGGGACTGTGGACTTGTGTCTTACCATCTGTTAGGACTCTTTGGTTAGTCTTCAATATTTATGTCCAGCTCTTGGTGAATCAGCAGAAGCAAACAACTAATCAAAAATAGGGAAAATGTAATTTTAAGATGAAACATTTCAAATGATGTCAACATATTCTTAGGTATAAAAAACTTTATTTCCAAAACATTCATTTTCTGAAACTCTCTAAAAGAACAAGAAAGACAATTTTTTTCAGAAATATCAAGTTTTCAATCTGAGACCAAAAGAACTACTCATGGAAGAAATTAGTTATTTCCTAAAAAGCTATGAACAATTAAAGTACTCAAGAAAAGCTCATATTCGTATTTTATATTTTTTATATAATCTTATAAGCACTCAATTGTGTGTTTTTTGCAGCTTTTAAACTCATAATATCTAAATATTTATCTTTTATTTTAATAGACTAAAATTTTCATGCATACAAATTAAGGAAAGAGTTGGCAATTGTGAGTTTTATTTAATATATGCAAATAGTCAAAATAGATAGTTCAATATTCCCCCCAAAATGAATTGTATCTATTTTGAGTAGACTTTTTAAAGTATATTTATTCTACATCAATTGTATTCATATTTTTTGTTCATTTCTTTTTCCATCCTATCATAATTGTGAGCCCACCTACATAAGAATGTTGGCACACAAATTAAGTACTTTTGCAGAATTTGTACAATAACCAGCTAAGTTAACAATGCCAAAGCAATTCAGTCTATTCACCCACCATAAACTTAAAATGGAAGAAGTACTGAGAAATGCAGGTCTTCTGCCAACAAACTGAAATTTGAGAAGCTTTTCTTTCTCTTGGCTTCATTTTTGGTCAACAGGCAAGAGACTATTTCCTGCCATAAGTGGAAGTAATTAGGTATTTATTAAATGTAAGTTTTGGCAAGATGAAGAATTATATCACAAACACAGTTGTACTCCATTTCATTCTCCTACCCAGCACTGGAAACAATTTTCCATCCTTCAAATGATATTCCAGAAGTTCACATAATATATTTTCATTAAATGCTCTCAGATAAACCATAAAGTAAGAAAATATGCTCATTCCCATTGTGGTATAGGTGGATATAATGGTGATTTTATAATACAGGTCTGTATTTCTGAAAAAATTGAATTATAGTTAAGTCAGGCTGATATCTTTAAAAATCTCACTCACATTCATGGGGTGAAGACTTTATGTGTTGTTTTTAAGACTAGTAGTTGAAACTATACTCATAAAAAATTTTACCTGCTTCTGAGAAGGTTGATGGGAATAATGCTTTTAACCAAAAAGCTATATATGAATTTACATTTTAACCATGATGGAAATGTTCCCTCTTTAAAGGAATACAGTCACAATTATTTCCTAATTTATTTGTTTGAGAAATCTGACTTTTAATTAATTGCTTTTGCTTAAAAGCAAACCTTTAATTTTAAATTTTAGAAATGTTAAATTTTTATTTTTTAAATTAGTATTAAGTAGAATGGACCTATTGGAAAATTTTTTTTTTCTTTTGGGTTAGAACATTATTTTTAGGAAATCTATGAATCACCTCATAAAGTTTTCATGCTAAATTATAACCAGCAAATCGTAAGCCACCAAAGTAGTTCTAGGATTTCAGTAAGGTTAAAACTGTGTAAATAAATAAGGCTATCACACTAATGAACTTAAAGAACAATGGAAATGACAATTAAAAAGTAAGATTTTAGAATGCAGTTTCTTGATTTGGGATATGACTCAAGTATTTTATTTTTTTCAAGTGATTGACTTTCAGATTTCTTTAAAGTTTTCTAAAAAGAAAGAAATAAATGAAACTATATAGTAAATTTGTATATCTTGTCTTCTTCAATCCCACCCTCTTTTTTGTGCTACCCAAAGATTGCTGATTCACTACTAAGAATAAGAGCTATACATACTAAAGAGAACTGAAAATGCACTTACATCAAAAGATTAAACACTGTTGTGGAAGGGTGATTGAGCTTAGATAATATCTGTGGAAATATTCAAATAATACTGAAAAGGCTGAACCTAGTCTAGTAATTTATTTTTATAAAAACTAAATAATCTATATTGTTCATTACAGTATTCAGAAAGCTTTTCTTTCATCATACAATTTAGATTTCTCTGTTTAATAAACTGATGTATAAAATATTTTGAATTCTTATCATGCCAGATAAATTATAGTGTTTAGATTTTGTATATTACCAGTTTGATTATTTTTTGAATTGCTGTCTGAATCACAAGTATGTTTTTTTACCTTTTTTTCAGAATTTTTATCAAAATCCAGAGACTTCAGCAAAAGGTAAAACATACATGTACTCAAATATTTTATAATAAATAAATAAAAGAGAAAAAGTTATAGAACCCCAAAATGTTTTTAAATTTTCTCTCAAAATACTGTGATTACTCTCATATACATGAACACACATTCTCAGGGGAGAAATGCTGTGTAAAAACTCTTTATATCAATGGAAGTAATTACTCTGCTAGAGAATAAAAATGCACACTCTCTAAACTCTTAGCCTGATATTTTTTAAATAATGAGAAGAGTCAAGCTATCTATAAAAATTAAAATCCTAAAAATATTTATATAATAATTCCAAAACAGTGAAAATTTTTACCATTTACCTAATTATATTTTGATGTAAAAAAAATCAGAAAAGTGTCAGATGCCTGTATTTAAAGTCATTAATTTCAAATTTAAATTTAAACTCAATTAAAAAGACCAAGCTAATATAACAGGTTGGAGGATTAGGTTCTGAAATGATTAGTGTTTACAGAGGCTCTGAGCCTATAAAATTGCAAGCCACAGGAAGCCTTTTCCTGTAAAAAAAAAACACACACAAAAAAAAAACTAACTAAAAAAAGTGGATGTGAGATTATGTGATACACAGCAGAATCCAACTTTTGGAACCAGGCAGAATTGGTTTTGCATCTCAACTGCTGCTTTTAAACTCTGTGATCCTAGACTAAGTTCTTGATCTTAGATATCCTAATATGTGTAAAAGATATAATAAGATTTAATGTCCAGGGTGTGGTCAGGATGGTTCTTGTTTGCTTGTGGTAGGTAATGATATTTGGCATAGGAACACTTAGTATCTTTGAGGAAAACTGCCCCACAGATATTCAACACCCTTTGGATTGAGAGAAAAACAGTGGGAAGCAAGTGATAACCCCAATCTGCCCTCCACAGCTTGAATTGTTGCAGTAAAGAGTTGTACAAAGGACATCCTCTCAACTCTAATTCCCACCACTCATAAGGGGTTATTCAGTTATATTTGAGAAACTTCCTCATATCATGTCACAGAGAAAAACGAGGTGGCAGAGAATATGAGAAAAAAACCTGTGCTAGTACAAATATCGCTGTCCCAGGTTTTCATAAAACTCCAGATCACCATAAAAGAAAAGGAAGGAATGGACATACCCTAACAATATTTCTAATGCAGAATTTGAGTGGTAGTGCTTAGAGTGGACAAACTGGAGGTATGCCTATATGGAACTGGTCCTCTCTTCCTTTCTTTCAGGAATGTTGTAATGAGATCTCCTCTCCCATATTTCTCTGGGTGTTGAAATATGAGATTCCACAAAACTGTACAGAAATGTTCCTAGACATATTCTATAATAAGTAATGACAAATTTTAATTAATAAGTCTTAAATGCTCATGTATTGTCATTGCCTCTTTAGTTCATGGCACTATAACTCTTTTCCAGAGTAAAATCATGGGTGACAAACATTTTTTCACCATATTTCACCACCAAGCTGAATGTCTTGAGTCCTTATACGTTTTGACCCAGAGTTCTGGAAGTAAAGCATAATGCATAAACACACATCTACGTACAGCCTCAAAGAAGCAAATTACGACCAAGAACTATCATTCTGCACAAAAGCAAAGAGAAGAGATTGAATAATTATCTAAATAATTTAAGTTCGACCGGGCTTGTTGACTCAGCCTGTAATCCCAGCACTTTGGGAGGCCGAGGTGAGAGGATTGCCTGAACCCAACGGTTCGAGAACCCACGGGCAGCTTGGCAAGACCTCGTCTCTACAATAAATAAAAAATTAGCCAGGTGTGGTAGCGCGCACCTGTAGTTCCAGCTACTTGGAAGACTGAGGCAGAAGGATCGCTGGAGCCCAGCAGGTCGAAGCTGCGGTGGCTGGGAGCATGCCACTGCCCTCCAGCCTGGGTGACAGAGTGAGACTCCAATTCCAAAAAAAAAAAAAAATTGAAGTTCCACAATTATGTACTGGTGCTTAAATTAACAAGATATCTCATCCAACTGCATGATTTATTTTAGATGTGTGTTCATTTGTACAATACTGGGAATTATTGACAGAAAGATTGTACTTCCTGCTTCAGAGTACAAAAAGTACAATTGGGAGACTGAGAAACAAGATGTTTCTATACATTTACAATTTTCTGCCTGGTGTTGTTCAGGAGAATCCCTGTTGGTTGGCCTCCAGAATTTGATGAAGTTTCTTTTAAGGCTATTTTTACACTGCTTTACTCTTCTGCTTCATTAATTGCTACTGCTGATTTCTCAGATAATTTTAATTAGAGCTCTTTTCCTCTGCTTGTCCCCCTAGGCTGTTTCAGCAAAGAGCACAATTTAAGAAATATAGCAAATAAGTAAAATTTGTCTATCTTATGACTCTTCTACAAATTTATGAATAACTAAGTGAATATTAGCATATGTTAAAGAACAACAAAAATGGTTAAGTATATACAGAGCTACTGAGGGACAGACAGGATGTTAGAAGAAGCTCAATGCTGAAGCTGGCCTTTCTACCGAGGCATCCAACTGCCTGAGCAATGGAATACTGAAGTTTATCAAAGGAAAAAAGCTAGCTCTTTGTACTATTTTCAAAACATCTGAAAACTAAAAAGCAATTTATGTTTCTGAAACACCTTATAAAGAAGTGCATGCATTTGAATACAATTGTGCTGAGTGACTTGATTCATGGAATCAAACTGCAGCAGATCTTAAGAAAATAATTCCTGGCTGGGCTCGGTGGCTCAGACTGTAATGCTGCACTTTGGGAGGCTGACATGAGTGGATTGCCTGAGCCCGAGGGTTCGAGACCCGCCTGGGCAACTTGGTGAGACCTCATCTCTACAGTAAATCAAAAAAATTAGCCAGGCGTGGTAGCGCGCGCCTGTATTTCCAGCGACTCGGAACACTTGAGGCAGAAGGATCGCCGGAGCCCAGCAGGTCGAGGCTGCGGTGGCCGGGAGCGGCCACTGCACTCCAGTCTGGGTGACAGAGTGAGACTCCAACTCAAAAAGAAAAGAAAAGAATTCCTAGTGACGTGCTTACTTGTTCTCTCACATCTCCTGAGCTGCCAGAGAAAAACTATTAGCTCCTATACCAAGTAATTTTACTTTATGTTTCTTCTTTCATGACAAGTCACTTTTAGGAATAATCAATAGGCTCCTTTTAAATAACTAATGGTAAAACTCAAGAAAGGCTTTGATTTTGAAACGATTTAGTAAACATCTTAAATCTTTCATTTCAAGCTTATTTCAAATCCCAGGCATGTACTATTGTCATTCTCTTTTTATATCTGCACTGTGTATATGATTAGTGTACAGTGAATGTTAAATATTATAACAATCAAATTTATTACAATTAATTCTTTAGATGGGATTTGTTTGAAGTACTTATAGGTCATGTAGAAAATATGTTCCTTGTCTGAAAATTAATTCTAAACAATCATAAACCAGAACAAAAAATATTGTAAATGCTAGTTGATAAAAATGTCCAATTAATAATAAAAATTTCCAATTTGTGATCAAAAAACCATGCCTCCAAAATTTATGCTGCTGAAGATATGAAATCTTATTGATATTTAATCTGCTAGCAACTAATCCAGGCTACATTCAGAGGCACAGATGGCAAATTAGCTTCAGTTGGTAAAGGGTCATTGTAATTAAATTCTATTTAAGTTGAATTATAAGAAATTTCAAAGCTGCAGTTGATAGTTTATTATAAATATGACCCTTCACAGATGACTTGGTCACTATCTATTTTCTCCTAGGCTTGATAGACAAAGTAACAACTGAACTATCCACGTCTATCTACCAGCTAATCAATGTCTATTGTAGAAGCTTTTATGCAGATTTTCAACCTGTAAATGTGCCTGGAAGCATTTCCTATGAGCATCCTGGGCTGCATTCCCACCTTAGCTTCACAGTGTATGCCGCACACAATATTCCGGAGACCTGGCTGCACAGGTGAGTGGTGGTGAGTTTTTCACGAAAGGGCTACTTTTTACATAGCTGCTAATTAAAGTGTAATTTGTCTTGCTTTTATTTTGGGGAGCAAATATTTCACAAAATTTTTAAAATTAATCAGATAAATGCATCCTTATTCTTAAAATTACATTTTAAAAGTTTAAATTTGCAATAGATTTTTTTCTTATTCCATTCTCTATATTAAAAATAATTGCTTTTGTCATCATACCATTATAGATATAAAAATTACTCATTCTATTTAACGACTACCCTAAAAGGTTCTTTTTCATGTTTGGGTATAAATGCCTAATGCTAAATAAGAAAAGGAGAGATAGTACATACACATATAGAGAAATGGAGAGTATTTAAAAATAGAAAAATTACCATAATTCCTATCAAGTTGTGAGTGGTATTATGTGAGATTGACACCTTGATAAAGTGAGAGCAAGCCAAGAATTATTTGAGTTACAATAGAAATGAACCAAAATTATGCATGAAATAGCATCAAATTTTAGGTTGACTGTTTTATAGTATTTTCTTGAACAACATAATTAGAGTAATATTATATGTAAATTCTTTATGATTGCATCTTTAAGAAAATATTAACTTAAATTAATTCAAGTTGATAAGATAATGGTAATTTGTTTGTGGATTTCTTATATCTACTGCTTTTAGCATCTTAAAGAAAACTGAAAGAAAACTTTCAGTAAGAGGTAATTTTTATCTTGACCTGTGTTTTTGAAAATAAAAAAATTGTATAAATATAGTGCCAATTAAAAAAAAGAAATTTTACATGTATGTAAAAAAAACTTCATCTACATATGCACACATTTCTTTAGAATACATGGAATGATATTTTTATGCTTTTTTATCTTTCTTATTTTCTTTTTACTTGTAGAGATGACTAATTATTTTTACTTGTAGAGATGACTTGTAAACTTGCCTAGTTCCTGGGCTTAGGCAATTCTCATGGCTCCGCCTTGCCAAAATTAAGAAAGATAGGCCACTGCACCTAATCTGTCTTTCTTAATTTTGTGAAGAATTTTTAAAAGCTCATACATAATATAATCCATCGCCACTCTGTTTTCTAACAATTTTCTAGCCACTAATACTCTTTAATTTTAACCTACTTGGAAAATCTCTACAGCCAGATAAATACAGATAAAGCTGTGTGTATAAAACATGCATTTTATATATGTGTCTATAAATAGATAAGATATATATAATATATGTACTTATAATGTATAAATACACACATGTGTATATAATGTAAAACGTATTTGTGGATTCAAAATAAAAGTGTGTCTTTGTATATATACAATCTATCTACTCAACTCTTCTTTATCTTTCTCTACATAGCACTTCTATGCAGAGTAAAAATAGCAGGAGCATCTTTTAACATTGTTAAATAGAGGTAGTTTTGTACATGTGTACATATAATTTTGGATATAAAATAAAGCTTTTATATAGAAGTTCCTATAAACAATAAATAAATGAGGTCTTTGATGGATAAAACAAAATTCTCCCTGCCATTCATTAGAGAAGCAAACTACAGAAAGTCAGAGATAGATAAAAAGAAGCAACTACTCTTCTCTTAAAGAATCCATGAACCAGTTAGCTTTACAAATTCTGTGGGAAGATGTCTTACCTTATGACAAATAAAGCAGTTAGCTCAGTACAAAACTCATTCAATGTGGTCAATTAATGGTATTATGATAGAGACAAAGAGCAGAAGATTTAGAATTTATTGTTCTTTCAGAATGCTCTTAAGTTTATTCTTTTTGATTTTTGTAAGTTGGGCAAAGTAAAACAAAAGGGAATAGAGAAAATGGTGACATGATTACCACATTAACTTTCAGTCTCTTTTTTTCCCTAGTATATACATTTAAGGCAATCTATTTCCCTTTAGAAATAGCTTTGGCTATATTTCATATGCTTTATTATTTATTTTTATTATCCCTAAATTGTAATGTTTTCTAAATTATTATATTCGTAAGCATAAAAGCACATACTCAAATTTATGAATATATTTATTTATATATTTTTGTTATTGATTTCTAACTTATTTGCAGAAGTAAATGAGATCTATATTATATAAGTAATTTGAAATATGTTATCTGTTTAGGTTTTAGTCACTTAAAATAAGAGTTTTATATATATTTGAGAAAAAATTATATTTCCATATTATTTCTTGTAAGGTGAAATATGCATTTATTGGGTCAAGCTTGTTAATTGCATTATCTCACTTTTCTATATTCTTCCTAATTTGTCTCATTAATCTATTAATTCCTAGGAAGGAATGTAGAAATTGTACACTATTAAAGTAGCCCTTTCAGTCTCTCTGGATTTCTGTCCACTTTCTTACTTTTTTGCATCTTTCTGGTGAATCAAATATTTCAATATCATGTAGTGGCTTTATATTTAATAATATTTTTTGATTCAGAGTTCATTATACTGGTTTATATACCAATGTTTAGTTGGCATATGTACAATGTTTATCCTGAGATATTGTGCCTGTTTCTTACACACTCCTTAATGTGCTAATATGATGAGCCAAGTTTGTGAATAAGACTTTAGTGACATGAGTGAAACACAATAGACTATTACACATGCGACTTTTGATAGCAAAGGTTAGACAAGGAACCTATATGTGCCATTCAAACCTTTCCGATAAAAAAGACACACTATTGATGAGAAAAAATTTCAGTTTGCTCATGTGCTTACATTCTTTTATTTATGTACTTATGTATTTTTTTTAATTTATTATTGGAGTCAGGGTCTTATTCTGTTGCCCAGTCTGGAAGACCTAGACTGGTCTCTAACTCTTTGGCTTAATCAATCTTCCTGCCTTGGCCTCCCAAAGTGCTGGGATTACAGGCATGAGCCACCATGCCTGGCCTATCTTAAAATTAAAAATACTATCAAATAAATTTTGTATAGATATACTTTTCTACATAAATATGCATCACCATATGTGTGTTTTTACATAATTATTTTTGTATTCTATTTATCAAACCATGGTATTTTATACTTTATGAGTGATTTAATAGATATTTAAAATAATGTTTACTGACTTTTTCAATATAACCTCCTCATCTGTTATGATTCTGCTGTACTCTTATTATTACCAACAATAATTTTAACACCCATCCAGTGACTACTCTGCCACTGCTGTCAATTGCCCTCAACTCACTCTCCTTGATGCGGAACCCCCTTGTTCTCAGGCACTTAGCTTTGTATCTCTATTGTGATATTTTCTTTTCTTCCTTAGACTATCTCCTGTTATGCCCTCCTTTACTGCCATCACTCCTTCACAGTTTTCTGCATAGCTTATATGTTTGCCCTCAGTAATAGCCATGACATCAACTAAGTATTCCTGCTCTCCAGATTCAGTGTAGCGGTTTCACAAACCAAGTCTGACTCATTCCTCTATTCAAGGAAGTTTATTCAAATACTCTGCAAATCTTTATTGAGTATCTATTGTATGCTAGACATGTTTGGGTGCTAGAGATTAAAAAATACAGCTCTGCACACAATGTGAATAGTCACATGGACCCTGTAAAAGGTGATTGGAAGAGAACCAACAATACGGGATTATTAAGATAATGAGCATCATGCAACATAGGCATAAAATATAAATGTATCTCATCTTTGAGTGAGATCAAGACACTTTCAATCCGTAGAGAGGATAAAGGTAAAAAAAGAATTTCTATTCTATGTTAAATATGAATGGTTCTTAATCAGTATAATGAATCATGGGAAGGATTTGTTTAATCAATTTTTTCTAAGTAAAATACATTCTCATTTATTTTTAGATAGACTGAGTAGGATCTTTCCTGAAGGCATAGACATGGAGGAAATAATTCAGTTACAAATCCTGATATTTGACAGTGAAAGTTTCACTTTTTAAAAAATTTTAAAATAATGTACTTTAATTTTAATTACTGTCATTAAATCTAGTCCTTATGACTAAAACCAGATAGAAAGTTGTCACTTTGCTATTTTCCCCCAGTTTGTCAGTACTTATGCTTCTGGAGATGTCTCTGGCCTAATTTCTTTCTTGATGTGCTTTGCCAAGTTTGGTAGCCCGTCTTCAAGATGGCCCCTAATAATGGCTCCCCAATGGTCCCCAATGATGCTACTTCCTGATATTCAAACCCTCATATCATCCTTTCCCACAGCGTATCAGTATGGTGGAAGGGATGGAATATCACTTTCAAGATTAGGTTATAAAAGATCCTCTCTGCTGTCTTCTCCCTTGTTCATAAATGCTCTTCTAAATCCTTGGATCACTTGCTCTGAGGGAATCCAACTGCCAAGTCTTGAGGCCATTTGTAAATAACTCTATGGCAAGGAATTGAGGCTCCCTGACCTCCACACAATAAGGAACTGAATTCTGCCAGAAATCCATGAGAGAGAGCTTAGAAGTGAATTATTCGACCTCAGTGAGCCTTGAGAGGGCTGTGGTCTCAATTAATGCAACTCAAGAAACCCTCAGTCAGACACACCAAGCAAAGATGCTTCCCAGATTCCTGACTCTCAGAATGTGAGCCAGTTGATGTTTATTGTGCTAAACTGCTAAGTTTTAGGGTAGTTATGAAGCAATAGATAACTAGGTCCCTAGGCATTACAGTCATTTCTCGGCATCTGCTGGGGATTGGTTGCAGGACCCTCACCAATAACAACATCTACAGATTCTCAAGCTTCTTATATAAAATGGCATCATCTTTATATATAACCTATGCATGTCTTCCTGTACACTTTAAATCATCTCTAGATTACATATAATATCTGATGCAATGTAAATGCAATGTCAATATAGTCGTGCATAGCTTAATGGCAGGGATGCTTTGAGAAATACATCATTAGACAATAAGGTGTTAAAATCACCTGTGGTATTTAGTACAGTAACATGATGAATGGGTTTGTAGCCTAGAAGCAACAAGCTATCCCATATAGCCTAAGTATGTAGTAGGCTATATGTTCTAGGTTTGTGTATG